TGCTGATATACTTGTTTTCTCTTCTTTTTTTGTTTTTTACAAAATTATGTCGGTACAAAATATACAAGAAAATTTATACATTTTAGCTTAGAAGTATTTTTTTCAATATTCTAAAATTATTAGAAAATGCATACTGCTCGTGTTTGGGATTACGTATTTAAGTGACAGCAGTCCAGTGTCTTTTTCACAGATATTGCAAAGTAAGGGGTTAATTGCTTTATCTAGGGAGTAAGGGGACACTGGACTGTTGCCATCTGCGGGATAATTACACATTGAACGAGGCTGAATATCCCACGTAGTGCTATTAAATTTATACGTCGTCAGTAATGTCCCTTATTTTGGAAAAATAAAACGAACGAGGCAAATTAAATGTTAAATTGACAATTTAATACTGGGAAATGGGGTAACTTATAAAATACTAAATTCTTCAACTAACATTCATTTCATTTTTATATTTGTCAAGTGACTTTAATTGACTTTACTGGGTTTCCAATGATTCTCTAAAAATTGGAAAAATGGGTATTTGTTATTAAAGAAATTTGATAAAAAATACAGATATATTGTATGAAAAATATTTGCACAGAATGTAGAAAATATTTGCCACTTTTTTTTTTCTGCCAAGTGACTTCAATTGACTTTACTGGTTTTCCAATGATTCTCTAAAAATTGGAAAAATGGGTATTTGTTATTGAAGAAATTTGATAAAAAAAAAATGGAAAACATTTGCACAGAAATGTGTATTTTTAATCATAGTCCTTTGCAAATGCTACCTATATCATTTTTTCTCTTAGTCCATTAATTTTCATATTCAGCACTTTTTCTACTCTCCCTTGCTTTCCAGTAATAATTTTCCAATTTCTAAGTTTAGAAGATCACTCAATTCCCAATTGATTTTCTAGCTGTAAAAGTTTCGTAGAAAGCCCAAAAAGTTTCTGCCTAATTTCAAGCCCAACGTTTCAACAGTTCCTCACCCATCTCGTAGAAACGAAAGTTTTTCCGAGTCTCAAATTTCACTGGTCGTGAAAGCTACAGTGACGCAGCACACGTTTTTCCCGTGTGTCAGAAACGCACGGAAAAGAAAACACGAGGCGCTCTACGACTGTTGACGAATCATTGATTAGGAGCGTTTCTTTCCGCGCGGTATTGCAATCTGTCAAGCGTTTTAAAAACGCCTGAAAATAATCCAGCGTGACGCACGGGCCGTCTGGTTTTCGGGTGACGTCGAGAAAACAGGCCTCCACGAAATTACGAGGAATCAGCTCTGCGATGAAGTGGTTAAGAAATTATGACGAATAGTTATGACTCTGATGGGCCAGAAATTAGATAATTCCGGAGCTGTTTATAGTTTCGAGTCTGTTCTGTAAAGTAGTAGACCTATTTTCATTTCAACATGAAACAAAGATCATTTATATATTATAGTAATGAAAAAATAAATTGAAAATAGGAAATAAGCTCTTTTTATATGAATCTTTTTGTTGAACAAATTAATTTGGAAAATTTGTCGAATGTCTGTGTATTTGATTCTATTTAAATTTGAAAAATTTGTGTGCAAATAAAAGTGTGGATTTTTATTATTATTTTCGGATGATAATGAAGTCGTAATTTATTCGTTATTGCTTCCAAAAGTAGCTTTTAATATTCGATAGTCTATAACTAATTTTGTATAAGAAATTATAATTGCAGTTGGCTTAAGTAATGCTAATAATTCATTTAAATTTGCAATTATTTCATTTATTCAAAATTGTGTTTCTGGAGGACAAGTGGTATAAGTTATGACGTAGAACATTTAAGTAGAATACATGCGTATGTGGTAAGCCATACACTTCGATGCGTACATTAAACTTCAAACAAGCACTATTTATTGGATAATAAGAATTGTTAATAACGGTGGTGAGATCGGTAGGCAAATAGCGCCGATTCTACATCGATCATCGAAGTCAAGCTGCACTTTGTTGCGTCGCGCGGAAGGATGGGTGACCGTCGAGAATTTCTTTCGTTTGATATTTTTTCGGGGTCGATGTTTCTCCTATATTAGGAAAAAGGGGTGTTTCTGGCGTGTGAAATTCTCTTGATATTCTTTCCAAAACTTTTAAAGTCTCCACTCCCTTTATAAATAAGCTTGAATGGAAACGATAAAACTTTCTAGAAAGTATTAAAGACTCTTCCGTATATCCCTAAAGTGCGAAAGTACTGAATAGTTAGTACTATGTAACAACACAACTTGCTTTCAGTTCTTTCACGATTGCGGTAATTAAAAAAAAATTGAATAATAAAGATTAAAAATTGAATAATTTTACTGAAAAATGCGAAACGTGTAACGAAGTTCCAAATTTGACAAATCTACATCACGAATTGTTATTCAAGTTCTCCAGTATTCCGATCTAATTTTGTACTTTACGGAAAGTAAACTTGAAAGAAAAATTGAACAATTGAGATAAAATTGTGAAATGATATTTTCAAACTTTGTTGCGCAATTCCTCGAAGAGTTCGTTTTCTCCTTTCACGTTTAAATATTATCGCAGACACGGTAAGAAATCCATAAATTCGAAGGAAAATTACGATAGAAACTTCCAACTTGTGTTTCCCCTGTTACAGTGCATCAATTTTCGAGACGATTTAAGAAGTGTTGCATAATGTCAACATTTCCCAGGAGGCTGAAACACTGTTTTGCTATTCGAGATACATTTTCTCGCGGTCGTATAGCCGGTCGATATCTAAGAATCCGTACAGAAACGACATCTGGGTTTCTAGAACCTCGAGAGAGAGAGAGAGAGAGAGAGAGAGAACAAACGTCGATCCCCCGTGGGCGAGAATTGCTGCCAAAACAAAGCTTTTCTTGGCTCGGCGGGTAAACAAATTTCGAGAAAATAGCCGGCTTTTCGCGGTTTCTTCGCCCGTGTGAAAATATTCGCACGTTCTAAACGCCTCGATCACTGTTCCCTATCTCTTTGAAAACTAGTCGCCTTTCTGCCTTTGATCTTCACTTGCTACTCCGCTAGAACTCACTTCCGGTATTCGTTCAGGTTACAAATTTTCCGAAAATTGTCACTTCGTAAATAACCTTTTTTCCAATATCAATTCTTTTCTGCTTCTTAAACGCCTTTCTATATTTTTTTCTTAAAACAATGTCGAAGTTAGTTGTTCAGTTATGAATTCTAAAACAGCCATAATTCTGAGATAAAACGTTTTTTTACATCGTTGTAGTTACATTTGTCACGAAATTTTTGTGTAATTTATATTTTTTAAGTTTTGTTTCAGCTGTGTAATATCGGTGTCCGCTAGTAGAATTTTACTATTTTTCGAGAACATCTTTGTGCTTTCGAACAGTAAATTTGTGGAAAATTGTGTTCTCGTTATTAACTTCTGATAAATTTTCACAGAAGGCTGTTTCACGTGCACTAAAAGTCCCAGCATATGCCAGTTAAATCATCGTTCTTATGACTAAGCTATCTGATATCTTCTTCGAGCTACAAACACCATTATCATTGCTTACATAATCAGCCCCTTTACCAACATATATTTCAGTCTAAAATGTTTAGACAATACATAAAGTGCGTCTGTTCGACGGAAAAACAGAGCATCAGCCATATTGATACCATAAACTACAGTATTCGAGCCTCGAGACGAAGATATTATTCCTAAATTTGTACAATGGATCAACCTTGGAAATTTCACAAAATAATTCACTCACCATTATCGAAATCTCTCGATCAATTAGTAAAATAATCGCTCCGTCGATACACTGTTTCATGTTTCTCACTCATTTTCGTCTTCGTTTCACAATAATCGACGTTTAAAAATGTCACTTTTAATATACTATCTCCGAGAAAATTCTTTCACAAATATGACAGTAGAAAATTCAATTCTTTCAGCTGTAAACTTTTTTCGCAAGATTTTTTTTTCTTCCTACACAAATCTCGGTTTGTATCAATTTTGGAAGGTTGAAGAATCGTCTGAGTTGAATATTTGTCACAAATAATTGAGAAAACAGGTTGCAAAATTGTTATTTGAGAGATCGAGTGGTTAGAACCGCGACAGCTGCCGGCCGGACACGAAGTTGGCGCGTTTGGCCAAGTTTCGAAAATAGTTCGCTACGGATTCGACGATAATGTACGCCGGTGTCTATTTGTAGCGAGAAAGAACTGACCAACCAGGCTTGCCAGGCTTGCCTGGTGAAATTTCCTAGCGATTAGTGACATGTCTCTTTTCCTATAAAATAAAAATATGAATACTCTTCTTTGTGATCGAAATTAATACAAAATTAGTGATAACAAAATTTACAGATATCTTCATTACCTTTTTGATAACATTTTTTTAAAATTCTTTTGATAAATAAGACGTTTGTATAAAATGTTGAGGAATTTGGAGAAAAATAAATTTTGCACGATCTTGCAACTTGTCAGCTTTCGATATAGACACTTGAGGATCGAAATTGGCTCGTACAAAGAATTTTTCACGAACTAAAATTTCTTGAAGAACTACTTTAAAGGGACTCTTTTCCTAAAAGTTCCTTTTAATACTCTCTTTAGAATCTACTTTTAATGCTCCTCTTTCAGATGCTTTTTGTAACAGTACTTCTTAACACTCTTACAGAGTCTTTTTATAAAAGTACTTTCTATTACCAATGTATCAGTTGTATTAATTTATTAATTAAAATTTGTCAAACAGTTCAAACAGATTCCTGTAATTTTTAGTTTATTTTAAAGTACATTCATTATTTAATTGATCATAACTGCTATCCACTAAAGTACATTAATTATTTAAATTTATTAATTTAATTTTCTCGAACAATCGACATCGTTTTTAGCAATGCCTGAAAATACGGCGATTATCGAATGCATTCGTTATTCAGCATTAGTAAAAAATGCACACTATCGATCACAAACACTTCCCATAAAAGTACATTGATCGTATTAATTGAACAATGTCGAATAACAGCCCTGCCTACAGATAGCAGTCACTTAGAAAGATAATAAACCAATATCTGAAAAAAGTTTTACCTTGTTCCACTTCAGCGTTAATATTAATCGTCCTCAGTCTCAGCTCCTCATTCTCGTAAATCATCCCCCTCGAGGACTTCCGATCTAGCTTTCTGTTCGGTTTCACGCTGACATCTCTGCGTCTGGCTCGTAGCATTCCAACTCCCACCCCAGCACCCGCCATCGTTTCTCCTTATTTTCTTCTTCTTTAATTCTCAACAATTCACACGATCACAAAGACACACATTTCACCTGTGAACGAAATCTTCGGAAGCTAGTATCCTACGATCGCGAGTTTGTATCATCTTTCACCGGTTCTCACACCAGTTTTCTCTGTTTTTATTCGAACAGTAAACACTAGTAAAGAAAGTTTGTATTTCTGGAGAAATTAGGGGTGTCTTGGCACGCTTTTATGTTGTCCGTTTCGCGGCAACTTTACGATCAGCTGTAAGCCGTTTGACGAGGTTTGCACCATCGCTTGATGGTCGTGGACGCGTTAAAACGTATTGCGCCATTAAGAAGCGAGTTTAAAGTTCTGGGTGAGAGATGCGGCTCGTTCAAGTGCCGTTTAATCTCACGTGAACTTTAGAGAGTGGATTTGTGTCCCTGGACTTCTTTCAAATTTTCATCTTTACGAGACCCTCGTTAAATCTTTCTTCTTCTTCTCGGCGCTTCTCTCGCAATCTTCTTCTTAATTTCTTCCGAGACATCGATTTTTCTCTTTCACTTTTTATCTCCTTACGATTTTTTTAACAAATCTTTCAGTTCTTTATGTAGTGCAGAATTTTCTTCAAACTGTCCTCTGTGCTTTTTCACCATAACCTTTTTTCCGTGCACTAGCTTTTAGAAACTTTTCCTTTTCTCGTATCTTTAAGAACATTTCATGCAGACCATTTAAACGTTCCTTACTTCTCTCGTTGCAATTCTTGCAAGCTTCCTAAAAATTTTCTTCACTCCCCTACATTTCGCTAAACTTTCCAGGATTTTCCACTTTATAAACTTCTCCTGTATTCTTCTCTTACACCCTTCTCAAGATTACCCTTTATTCCCTTTCCTTTTTTTTACAACTCCGCCCTTTTTCTGTTCTTAAACTACCTTCGAATTTCTCCCTCTTTTACCGTTCCTACGAAGCTTTCACGCTCTCCTCAAATTACTCTCGCATAATTTTCTCTTCCCTTCAAATTTCGCCGAACTTCTCGAAACACTCAATTTCTTCCTACACCGATGTCGAGGTATAAGAACAAATTCGAATGTTTCCAAGGTTTTCAAAGGGTTAATATTCCTTTCTATTCTCCTCGAATTTTTCCAAACATCCAATTTCTTCTTTCACCGAAATCGAAAGAACGAGAATAAATTCGAATCTTTACAAACTGTCCAAAGAATTAATGTCCTTTTCTGTTCCCCTAGAATTTCTTCAAACTTCTTCAAACACTCAATTTCTTCTTTCAACGAAATTGGAAAATTCGAACAAATTCGAATCTTTACAAACTGGCCAAAGCGTTAATGTTCTTTTCTAGAATTTCTTCAAACTTCTTCAAACACACAATCTTTTCTTTCACCGAAATCGAAAAAATGAAAACAAATTCGAATCTTTACAAACTGGCCAAAGCGTTAATGTTCTTTTCTAGAATTTCTTCAAACTTCTTCAAACACACAATCTTTTCTTTCACCGAAATCGGAAAATTCGAATCTTTACAAAGTGTCTAAAGAATTAATGTCCTTTTCTGTTCCCCTAGAATTTCTTCAAACTTCTTCAAACACTCAATCTTTTCTTTCACCGAAATCGGAAAATTCGAATCTTTACAAACTGTCCGAAGCATCGATATCCTTTTCTCTTCTCCTCAAACTTCTCCAAACATCCAATTTCTTCTTTCACCAAAATCGAAGTTCAAGAACAATTTCGAATCTTCACAAACTGTCCAAAGCATCGATATCCTTTTCTCTTCTCCTCAAACTTCTCCAAACATTCGATTTTTCCTTCGACCAAAATCGAAAAAACAAGCTTCAAACTTTCCAAAGCTTCAGTATCCAGCGCGAAAAAAAATTCCTCGAAAATCCGAAAATTGATCGACACGTGACTTGTTCAGAGCAACCACGAGGCCACGAGGATCGTTCCACCGGAAACACCGCGTTTTCCATCCAGTTCCGGCGTATCCGCGCTGCAACCGAAAAAATTTGCATCGTCCTAGCGTTTATCACTCGCTCTTCCTCCGGTGCAATTTGCCTGCCCATTATTCAAGCGTTTATCAGCGTTTTCGAGCGTCCTCCTCCTCCTCTCTCCGCGTTTCACGCTTTTGTCCTTGTGTATTTCTTTCAATTTATTCGCGCGTCCTCGGGATTTTATCCGCGATCTTCCGCCGCTTCCGGTTTCCCCGCTCGCTTCGATCCCCTGGAATTTATTCGCGCCACTGATCCGAATTTATCGTCGACGAATTTTTTTTTCTTTTCCCCCCTTTTCTCTCTCTCTCGATACTACTCCCCTCATGTGACGCGTTCAAGGTGTTCCTCCATGAGAACTTGAAGCGTCCCAGTGAATGCGACACTGTTGCTGCCCCCTGAATATCTATTCTGCCAGGAGATTCTTTTGCCGAGACTGTTTGATCGTTTCGAGGTTTTTCTTTATCTTTAGAAAATCGAATTTTCATGTAGTTGCACTATGACGACTTTATTTATTTATTTTCATTTTATGGAAAGCTTTGTGGAGGTGCTTGTTCAACGAAATTTTGGTTCTTGTGAAAATTCAGAGTTTTGTTTGCGATACAATGTTGGTTTTATCGTGGAATTTAAATTCCAGTGTGAATTTCTTTTAGGTGAACTGTTCGACTTTGTTTTTGGTTTTGTAATAGGGAGAAGTTTGTCGTTGGAGATTTGACGATGTTTGAACACTTTTGAGAAGTCCACAGGTGAATCCTTTTTTCTTCCATCGATGCAGAAGTGTTCTTCCAGAATTGAAGATTGCAAAATTTCCAAATTTCTCGCTGCATTCGATCCCGGTATTTTTTGGTCGCCGATTGAAGCTTCTTCAGCGGTGTTTTCTCTGAAAAATACGAGAAACATTAGTGTCTCGATTTACATTCTAAATAATTATCGTAATTCTTAAATACTTCAATTATTTTTATTTTAAATTTATTCTGGCTATTTTCGATTTTGAGATTATTTTCCTCTACGAACAAGAGAGAAAGTTTGTGTTATTCATTTCGAATAACAGCACGGAGTTGAAAAATCGTTTCACTTTTCTACAGCTCATTTCACAGCGCGTTTAACACGTAGAACAAGTGAACCAGGGTACGCGATTGAATAACTTGGAATCAGCTAATCAGTTTAAATGCAGAAATGCAACAAATTGCTTTGATGTCGAAAATGTAATTCTTGCTGGTATAAACCTACGAATGCAATTAATCCGGACACGTTGGAGAATCAGTAAAATGTTACCCGAATTAAACAAGAGAATTCATTTTCAGTTTATAAAACGACAATCACTGTACTCGGTTGATTAAATGCAAATAACTAAATCAGTTCTGGCTATTGATCCTCTCTACACACACATATATATTGTTCGCAAACGACCACAGTGTGAAAAGAATGATCTTGCCAAAGAAACCCATGTTAATAACAATTTTAAACGCAACATTCAACTCCGTGCTTTCGAAAGCTGTCGTAGAAAAGCTCAGTTCGAAGTCTCGTTAAATAGAATTCATTACTTCGAAATTTTTCACGCGTGCAAACAGCTCTAAAAATGTCTCTGGTAAGTTGTATTATATACAGGGTGTTTTGGAAAATTTGCTGCTAGCTGGTTAAACAGGATTGTTTGTGGAGAAATTTTTGTTTTAGCCTGTGTATTCGATATAGTTGAAAATTTTTCTTTGCAATGGTTCGGAGAACATGGTTCGACTTATGTCCATCCCTATGTTCATCTTACAAAGTATTTAAGCAGTGCGTTGGATTCACCTTTAACTGTCGAGGAAAGTACCGTTTAACTTTTGTTAGTGTGTCAATTAGAAGCAGGGATACGATGGTTTAAATTACCAAAGGAACTTTCCGGACAACCTAATATATTTCTTCAAAAATGCACAGCTTCTTGAAAACCCGTCCGACAATCGACATTCTCCTCAGACTCCTCAGAAATCGTTAAGACGTTAAGTATGCGTACACTCGCGTAGCTTGGGTTACAAAAGAAGTTCGCGGCACGGAAATCCAGGTCGGCCGCAGGGTTTATCTTGGTTCGGAAGCGTTGCGCCGCGAGTTTGTCCCTTGGGATGGTCGATTAAAGCGTTGAGCCGGCGGCG